TTTTCTTCTATTTTTCAGGGACTCTGATGAATGTTAGACCTTTTGGTATTATCTCAGAGGTCCCTGAAACTATGTTAATTTTTTTCAAGCTTTTTCCCCTCTTTTTTCGTATTGGATAATTTTTATTGATCTCTCTTTAAGTTCACTGACTCTTTCTCTGTCATCCCCATTTTTTGAGTCCATCCAGTCGACTTGTTATTTGATTATTATATTTTTCAGTTTTAAAATTTTTATTTGGTGCTTTTTTTTATACTTTCTGTTTCTCTGCTAAGACTTTCTGTCTTTCCATTCATTTCAAGACTGTTATGTCTTGGTACATGGATTTACATGTTGCAGACGTCTTAGCAACTTGACTTTAAAAGTTTTACATTTTGAAATAGTCAAATCCATTTATTTTCTTCTCACAAAAACCTATGAGATTGATTTTATTATCCCTGTTAGAAACTGAGACTCAGAAAGGAAGCATGTCTAGGGTTGCCCCGTGAGAGGGAATTTGAATTGAAGTTAATATTGTCTCCAAAGCCTGGTCTTTCTGCTTTACCGCTGAGAACCGAGCTTGAGGAGTGATTTTGAGAATGGAAAGGGAACAGCAGGTGCATGAATTGTAGTGTGGGCAGACACACTGGGTTTAGTAAAATATCATCAGCACTCTTCACAATTCAGAGAGTCTCAAAAAAGGATGTGTTTGTCCGTTATTTAAATGTCTTTTATTTTTTATTAGGAAATTTATATGGTACAAAATTCAAAAGGTAAAAAGTATATACAGTGTACTTTCAGATACATACCATCATATCAAACAACTAAGGATTTATTTATATCCCTGTATTTTAAAAAAATGGTAACCTGCCATATATAATGTTCTATATCTGTATCATAGTGTTCTTATTTAACAGTGTATCTTGGAGATAATCTCATAGAGTATACAAGGTAATCTCCCATTCTTTTTTTATGACTCCATAATATTCTGTTGAGTAGACATACTATAATTTACTTAACCAGGGACTAGTTGACTTTCAATAATTCAAATTAACCATAGACTTTTTAACCTTAAAAACTTTTTAAAATGAAGTGTAACAAGCATACAGGAACATGCACAGATCATACGTGAATAGTTCAATGAATTATCAAAAAAAGAGCATACCCCTATAACCATCACCAAAGACAAGAAATGGAATATTTTTAGCACCCAAGAAGTCTCCTTTGTGGCTCTCCCCAATCACTACCCACTTTTCTTCCCCAAAGGTAACCATCATCCTGGACTGATAGGTTCCTTCCCAGCATGTACTTCTGTCATTCTCTTTATAACAATGTTAAGGAGAGCAATCTTTTTTTTTCCTACAAGGCAAATACTCAAAGATATATGAAGCAGAGAGGGAGAACTTGGGGGGATTTGGGTAGAATTTTGAAAAATATTTAGTTATTTAAACTTGGTGATATAAACATACTAGGAAATTGCTTTCACATGTAGGCTAACGTCTGGTTTTTGGAGTTAGGTTAGCCTGCTCAGGAAAGCTTGCTGGACGAACCAAACCAAAAATCAGGAATTTTCTTGTAGTCAGTGAAGTTTAATCAACAGATCCTAGTCACTGGAGTCAGACAGCAGGAGAGGAATCCCAGTTCTTTCACTAGTGGTGAGCTCTTTGATCACATGGACAGTGCGAGTAATACTTTTGCGGTGTTGTTTTAAGAATTGAGATACTGTATGTAAATTCTCTAGCCCAGTGCTTGTTTACTTAGTAGGTCTCAGTAAATATAAGTTTTCTTAATATGTTCCTTCCCTCCACCCAACTTTTTATTTTGACAAGTTTCAAGCCTGTGGAAAAGTTGCAAAGTAGTACAGCAAACAACCATGTATACTTCATCGAGATCCATCAGTTAGTGTTTTCTACGTTTGCTTTATCTCTTTTTTTCCTCCTTCGCCCCTCATTAGAGAGTTAGTTGCAGCCGTCATGACACAGCAGGTTAGTACTTGAGTGTGTGTCTCTTTCTTAGGACATTCTCCTACAGAATCATAATACTGGTACCTAATATTAATATGAAGTTGTTATTCCAATTTCCCCACTTATCATCCTATTGCTGTGTTTTTTAAAAAATTTGAGATTCCATTGCACATAGTCATGCCTGTTCAACCTCCATTTATTTAGAAGAGTTCCCCAATCATTTTCACCTTAAGATTGTCATAAAGATTTTTGAAGAGTTCAGTCCTATTGTTTTGTAGACCATCCTTCTGTGTAGCTTTGTCTGATCGACTCCTCTTGTTTAGATGCAGGTTAAAGGTTGTAGACACAAGCACTTTAGATGGAATTGTTTGCTCTCGTTGATTTATTTCAGGAGGAACATGATGTCATTTGTCCCATCAGTGGTGATAATAGATGTATTTTCTTGATTAAGGTATGTTTCCAAGGTTTCTAAATTGTAAAGGGCCATCTGTGGGGTGATATCTTGAGATTGCAGTGATCTTTTATCTAATGCTTTTAGTGTTGATGATTCTTACCTGAATCATTTACTACTGTAAAAGTTGTACAGTGGTGATTTTCTGTTCCTATTATTCTTCTGCATTTATTAACTGGATTTCTTTTATAAAGAAGACATTCCTCTTTTCCTTTCTTTTTCTTTCTTATTTACTTATTATCAGTGTGGAGTCATGAATTCTTTCTTTATTCAGTTATCATTCATTCCTGTTATTCTTTATTTTGATGCTCAAATTGTCCTAAATTTGACTAATGGGAACTGCTTAATTCTTTCAGGTTGATACAATTACAGCAAAGATAAGCTTTCTTTAGTATTTAAGATTTGGATCCATTTTGTACCCTTGTAATTTATATGGGGATTAATGTAGGTAGCATCTGTTAGACCCTTTACATTTTGTTGGCTTTAGATAACCCTTCTGTGATATTTTTCAGCAAATTACTGAATTGAAGAAAGAAAACTTTAACCTAAAGCTCCGCATCTATTTCCTTGAGGAAAGAATGCAACAGGAATTTGATGGCCCCACTGAACACATCTACAAAACTGTGAGTGGCCCACTTCTCACTACTGCCCCTTTTGTCTTTTCTCACAGTCATTCCAAGCAGAAATTTGATTAATATTTGTTCTCGGAGTTAGCAAGAATAGGTAGAGCTGGTTTCATTTAATTTGAGTTGACTATGGGGAACATAAAGATTCTAGGATGTCTTTAATATTAAGCAAAAAGGTGCATGATTAATTTTAAGGAAGTCTTTCGCTCTCTTTTTAAAATCAGCATTTGATTCACTGTCTTTACCTAAATTGGCTTTTTATAATTATTTATTACTTAGAAACAGGCAGTGGAATGGTGCAATGGCTTTGGAATTGAATTCTGCTGTTACCAACTAACTTGTATAACTTTAGACAAGTCACTTCAGCTCTCGGGGCTTACTTCCAGAGTTAAGTGGTAATCCCTCTGTCATGAGGTTATTTGTGTGGATTAAAATGAGATGACAGATGAAAATCTCCTGCACGTACTCAGTGCTTGACAATTATCATCACTGTCTTATCGCGGCTTCCTTTGGCAGCCCAAAGTTAGGATTTTCAGGTTTTCTGTGATTTGACTCTTCTGTATGCCTGTGTGCTTGCTTATAACTGTCAGAAAAAAGTCTATTCCCATTTGAAGTCTTGACCTAGAGGTCTTAGTCTGAAAACAAACCTTGGTTCTGAAAGTTGGAAAAAAGAACTTGGCTTTCTTGAAAAGACATGAGTACAAACAATATTGCAGTGCCCATTTCTTGGCTTTTTCTAGCAGATTAGCCCTTGGCCTGGGAATTATTCCATCTTTTCTCCTCTGAAGTTTGTACCAGTGGAAACTTTTGAAGGAGGAAAAAGAATTCTCCTTTAGTTTCAGCAGATGAACTTAAATTGACTTGTCTAGAAGAGGGATCGTACTGTACTTCTGAGCCTTCTCAAGAACTGAAAAGCTCCTTTGTCCCTTAAGACAGTTTTTTTTCCTTCACTGTGGAGATAGAAAGACAATGAGGATGTCCCCTTTTCTGGAAGAGGGCGATGATGCAATCAAAATTTTAAAGGAGAACCGATAGTCTAAAGCATTTTATATGTATTAAAAAATGTGGTGGTCATGCGTCTCAGAACTTCTGGGGAGACAGGAAGCCCAAATGTGTCAGCTGCTGAATCTCTGTCAGGCACTATTGTAGGCATTTGTACATTTGTCATCTTATTGTAATTCTTACGACAGCCTGGTACAGTGGAGAGGTAAACACTGAAAAGACTTTCTTTCTCCCTTGCCTCCTGGTCTCCTAGATCTAACCAATATTATTTATTCCTTACGCAGAGGAATTTTATGTATATATAGTACATGTGTGTGCGTGTGTGTATGTAAATCCCCTTTTTACATAAATGCAAACATGTTTTATTTTGCACCTTACGTTTTTCACTCAATGATATCTTTCCTTAATAGTAGTTTAAGAATTTCTCCATTCTTTTTTTGGTAGCTTCATAATATTTTATTTTATGCTTAGAAGGTGTCCTGACTTTTGATTTGGAAATTATGAGCACCATGTATGTAAGTTTGTAACTTGAGACATTGGGCTTGAGAAAAATAGTCTAATGGACGTGTTAGCTATCCATTCTTCTAAATTTATTAGTTGGAGTGCCAGGTGGTTCATCAGAAAGCAAAGCACTTAGAATATATTATATCAGCTCATACATAGAAATAAAAGCTCTCTACCCTTCTGAGAGCTAGAAAAGGAGTCCTCTGTTTGAAGGGTGCTTGTGCATTTTTCATAAGATCACAGTCGAAGACATTATGTACTGCCCCTCAGTGTCCTTTATGCAAATCTCAGTTTCTTTTAGAAAAAGTTCTGCCTCATAGATGACTTCTTTAGTTCCTCTTGTTTGACAGTGAAGAAAATAACCTATTTTGAGTCCTATCTCCTAGGCTTTTCTAATTTGCTAGCTCACTTAGTCCTCAAATCCCCCGTGTCATGGGCGCTTTATGGTTTTCATTTGATACTTGAAGGATTGGAAAAGAGAAACATTGGTTTCTCGCCCCCTGGAAAGGTCACCCGTGCAGTCTCGTATTCCATGTCACCGTGAAGGCAGGGCCTGTGTCTGTCTTGTTTACCCCATGGCTTCAGTGCTAGGCCATTCACAGATGCTCGCTAAGTAGAGTGAAGGAGTGAATACGTGAGTATCCACTGACTTACTATGGTCTCTTCCCAGTAAAGACTAGAGGCAGGATTTGAACCCATGTCCTTCAAGTCCCACACCCGTGACCTTTCTGTTTTGGCTATACTTTTCAGTCTGGGGTACTCGTTCCCCCAGGGCTGCTTGCCAGGTATGTCCTCTGAGATGGTAAATTTTACTGGTATTGTTATTTTAATTTAAAATAATACATACGTGTTAGGGAGTAGAATGCAGTTTGAATGAGTTATTAAAATAAAACAGGAGAGAGATTTCTGAGAAATCTTGGATTTATAGCAATCCTCTGCCAACTATGCACCCAGACTTCCTGTCTCTACTACGTGAATTTGTCTGATATTCTGTCTGGGATACATTTGTGGATAAGTTTGAAAAGCCTGCCATCATTCCATTGTCTCACATTGCCTTCCATTTGCCAAAGATTCTGTCTTTGGATTCTCATGTGAGTTGTCAGCCCAAGGCTGTGTGTGACTCCCTTTGTTCCAGTCCGTTGGGAGGAAGACGGTCGGAGAACACTGTGGTGTCCCTTATAGACAGTTTGCCCCATGTGGTTGTGGCTTTTTTGTGAGTACCCTGAAATCTTATCTCGAAATGGGACAGACCACGATGCAGCCTCCCACTTACCCATCCACGTTTTATTTTTTTAACACATTGCCACACTAGAAAAAAAAGTTTTTCCTTGGGGCCACCGTGTTTTATTACGAAAGTAGAATAAAAACTTTGAAAACAAAACGATCCTTTATAATTTAATGAAAAATTTGTTATTTTTTATTGTTTTCTGTGTGTGAGTTATATACAACTTGAAAAATAGTTCTCGTGGCTCCCAAGGTGAAGAGACATGTGAGTTACACATGCTTCACGAGGCCCCGGACTCAAAACTAGCGTGGGTTAAATACATTTCACATGGCAGTTAACGTGTTAAAGCCATACACTGCTACAGCACCACATGCGTGATTGTAAACAACCAGAAGTAATTGCCTTGGAATGGTAAAAACAAACTGCAGAATTGCTTATAAATTTGCTTGGCGAAGGGCAAACAACTTTTAAATCAGCCTCACTTGTATGACATTTATGCCTTGATATTTGAATGCTCTGGCTGTTAGAAGCTTGGAACATTTACGTAATTGTTCCAAGTCTTGAGAAATCGGGGGCTTTCTTTTGAGACCACCAGTGTTTAATAATTCCCTTTTCCCTGTGCCCTGAGGCTAATGAGGTTTTTGAATCTAACATCTGCCTATTGCAAGCATCGCATAGTCAGCCCGTGCTGGAAGTGGTTTCCCCACTGTTGATGTTCATAGGTCCTGTATTTCACACTGTTTCTTCTCTTTCTTAATCTTATCTTCAAGAACATCGAGCTCAAGGTGGAAGTAGAAAGTCTGAAGCGGGAGCTCCAGGAGAGAGAGCAGCTGCTCATCAAAGCCTCGTGAGTACCTGTTATCCTGTCAGAGAAGCTGGCAGATGGCCCAGGGCTTCTGATGGTAGCACTGGGTTGGTCAGTAAAATAGAACCTTACACTTTTCTAAACCAGTTGTTCTCCAACTAGGCTCTGAGGACCCCAAGGAGGTTTTTGTTTTTATTTAATTACCTACTTTGAATAGATCTTAAGTGTATATAGCATGATAAATTTTCACAAAACATACACACCTGAGGAGCCACCATCCAGATCATGAAACAGAGCATCATCAGCCCCCTAGCAGCCCCCTTTGTGCTCTCAGAACTTACCTTTCTCTTCCAAAGGTAACCACTGTCCTGACCGTGGTTTTCGTTGTTTCTTAGTTCTGCCTGTTTTTGAACTTTAGATAAATGGAATTATACAGTATATATTCTTTGTGTATGGCTTCCTTCCTCACACTATATTTGTGAGATCCACCTCTATTTCTAATTATCTCAGTAGTTCATTCTCACTGGTGTGAAAGCCTAGAGGATTTGAAGGAGGCCTGGCGGGTGAGGCAGGGGGTGCAGAGGACAGGGCTTTAGCCAGAGTAACTGTTTTTTTTCGTTTTGTTTTTTTTTTTATCTGTTATGTGTACTAGGGCCATCTGTAATATTTTGTTTGAAAGGGGTTCTACTGCTTAAAAAACATTTGAAAACTAGTATTTTCATTAATTAATTCATTTATTGAAATATTTATTAAACAAGCACAGTTCAGAGAATGTAGTCTGTGAATCAATTTGTTATTCACTCGTTCATAAACATGTGATAATCTGTGCTACACACTGAGGATCCGAAAAGAGACACTCCCTTACTCCAAGAGCTCATCAGAGACTGGTGAACAAATAGAGTGTAACAGAGGTGCAGTGATGGAGGGCGTTTGTGGGTAAAGTGGGGACACCAAAGTGTGCTCAGGTTTGCTCTGTGAGAGTGGAATAAGACTTCCAGGCTGCCCCGCCAAGGATCTGGCCGAAAGCTTATGTGGAAATGCCTCATTTGTCATGGCTGTAGAGCTCTTGCTGGGCGTGGTGGGCCAGGAGCATGGAGTCTTTGGCTTAGGGCATAGCTGCACTGCTCTGGGCCAGGCCAGTATAATTTTTTTCATTGCCACAGGATCCAGCAGCTGGAGGTTGGCCTGCTGTTGGCTTTCACCATGTTAGAGGATCCCAGGTCCAGGCTTCTTGTCTGACTTTTGCTGAACTTGCATACATGGTATTTTCTGAATGAGCGAATGAATTAATAAATATAACCAGGTTAACAAGTTGTTGTTGTCGTTGTTTTGGAAGCACATATTTTCTGGGCAGGGAGGCAAATCTACTTTATGAAGCCTGAAGATCAGTAATAGAATTTGGTCTGTTTTATACCCAGCACCCTGCCTGCTGCATGCACGTCTTGGCTGGGACTTGTTTGTAGCTAAGCTTATACACGTGGAAACCTCTGTTTACAAAGGCTTGTGTGCACCTCTCAGTACCAGCACACAGGATTGAGAGCTTTGGAGGCTTGTGCACAAGTTTGTGTGTGCCCAGCCTACATTCGAGGCCCTTTGTAGTCTGACCAGCTTTATTAATTTATTTGGAAAATACTGATGAAGTTGCTGTGGTGTGCTGCACGGGACCAGGTTCCTGGGACACAGTGGTGGTCCAGGCAGTTCTGTGGGGCTACATTCTGTTGCGGGTGATGGTGATGAAATACTCACAATAGTAAATACAAACTGGGATAAGAGCTATGAGGAAAATAAAGGGAGCTATGAGAGTTTATAGCTGTGGGAGTAGATATATAGATGCGGAAATACAGTGTGTCCCTGAGGAGGTAGCATTTGAGATGAGATCTGAAGGACAAGTGGGAATTAACCCAGTGAATGGATAGAGAAAGTGTTCAAGGAGAAGGGAATGTGTAGGTCTGAGGAAACATGAGAGATTTGGTCTTTATCTTAAGATGAAATGGGAAGCGGTCATGGGTTTTGAGCAAGTGATATGATCAGAGTTCTGTTTTTGAAAAGGTCACTCTGGATACTGGGTGGGAAATGAATCGTGGAGGGAGCTCGGGCGGAAGCTGGGAGACCAGTCAGGAAGCTAGTCCAGTGGTTGAAGTGACAGGTGAGTGGGTGGGTCAGAGAGACGTTAGGGAAGCAAAATCACAGGCCTTGGTGAAGGATGGGAGGGGAGATGTCAGGGGCGCCTCCTGTCCGGGGTTAAGGTCATGTGCTCTGTTTAAGCACGTTCACAGCGACTTAACCACTCCAGCTTCCTCTCCACCGGCTCTTTATCCCAAGCACAGTTCATGGATGCTAAAATTGTTCTTGCTTTTGCTGTTCTAACGTTGCCTCAGGAGACCTCTTTCCCTTCTTGTCTCCTCCCCGCCCAAATGGCTTTTTCTGGCCTACCCCTTTGGAAACTGGAGTGGTGAACCACACACGGCTTCCTTTGGCCCATGGCGGTCTTGTAACAGACTTCTCTGGTGTATAGTGACAGTCCCATGTGTGTAGCACTTTTCAGCTTATAAAACATTTTCACATCCACTTATATCCCATCATTATCCTGGGAGCTAGGCAAATCTCAAGGAATACCCTTACTTTATAGAGGAAGGAATTTCGGCCTGGAGAAGGGGATAGGCATGACTCTTAGCCAGAGATGACAGAGCTGGGATTAGAACCCAAGTCCCTGACTTCTAGTGTAGTGTGAGGTTTCATGTTCTTTTCTTATTTTCGGGTAGTATATTCACAATATCTATATGTCTGTTCAATGACAATATCTACCCTGTAACTGCTAAATGTGCCTTTCCCTTTACCCATGACTACCCAGCACCCAGCAGTTGGTCTGTGGTAGGTACCTGTTGATGGAAAATATCTTCATTGCTATAATGTCCTCATCTCCCTTTTTCAGTGTTACGATTTTTGGTGCGGGGGCAGGATATGGGACTTGCCAAGGAAAAACCCCTGCTTTTTCCTACAGAACTATAATTAGAATGGAAAGAATCAAGAGGAAATGTTGAGGGCTGAAAAGGGTAGTGAGGCTGGTATTTAGAGAAGGTTCTTTCTTGTATTGGGTGGGAAGCTGGATTAGACCAATTTCTCTCAACCTTTCCTCTCCTAGGTCTTGCTTTCTGCCTTGTCTGCTAGCCCGGATTCTACAAGGAAAGAAAGGGTGGAGGGAGGAACTAACAACTGCTGGGATCCTGCTTAGTTCCCAACCCTGTGCCTGACACTTGACAAACTTTGTTGCGTTTGATCTCTACAACAGTTACGCGAGGCAGCCAGTATTCCCATTTGAGTGATGGGAAAACTGAGGTTCAGGGGAGTGGGGGAACTTGCCCCCGTTGGTAACAGAGCTGGAACTGGGCTGGCTCAGAGCCCACTCTGCCTTGCCATGAAATAAACATATTTGTTTGCAGCTTTTCCATTGTTATATTTATCAGTTATAATAAGGGGACATTAAAAACAAAAGTCATATTCTTTGGAGTAAATTTTATCTCTGTAGCTTTAAAACACAAACAAAAATAATAATTCCATTAGTATAGGAAAATTGCACCATAGTGCTGAGTATAAATTTTATTGCTACAGTAACTGTAAAATACAAAGATGATAAATGAAAAGTTGGAACATTTATTATTGGGAATATATTTTATTGGTATAACTAAAACACAAACAAACTGAATAATACCAGTACTTGTTAAAAATTGTAGTCAGCCTCTTGACAATGTATATGATTCAGACTATAAAACACAAAGGTTAGATCTGGGCTTATGGGAGGGAGGTGGTATATTTGCACTCTGATGGGTAGGGGGGTGAGGGTAGGGGGAATGGAAGTGAGCCATTTTATAGAGAAGGCTTTATAAAGCCCCAGGGCTAAAACATGTGTGAGTGGGTTTCGGAAATTCATTACTGGAAAAATCCTGTATCCAGGGCTCAGGAAGGAGGGGCTTTTAGTCTAGAATTCTTTCGGCCGTATATAATGCCCCTTGAGGGGTGATAGAAATGATTGTGAGTCACTGTGAATTCGAAACAGTACTGATCCAGAAATGAGCCCAGGGACTGGGGACTGAAGACATTTAATGGCGTTAATCAGGAAGTGGAAACGGCCACCTTGGTTCTGGCCAGCAGAGATCTCAGCAGAGGGGTAGCAGGAAGCCTCTCCCAGCGGCTTGGTAGGGGCCAGCGCCGCATGGGCCTCAGAGGCCACAGGCTAGCACGCAGAGCACTCAGATCAGAGAGCAGGAGGCCCCGCATGTGTTGGCACATTGATTCTAAGAGGTAATCATCTCCTTTTTCACACGAGGAAACTGAGGTGTAGGAGGCAATTTGCTGAGGCTAGGTAATTTACCCGAGTCACACTGAGGATATAATAGAGTAAAAATTTGGAAGCCGATCTGTCCAGCTTCAGAGCCCATGTTCTTTCTTTCCAGTTGCTCACATTGAATTCCTTTAAAGTAATATCATGACACTGGGGCCTTCTGGAGCCTTATTGGTGAAAGGAAAAAAGATATGAATAAAGTCTTTATTTGCAGGCGACTCATGTTCGAGACTTGGACAAGTATGGCCCTCTAGACTTTCCATTGTTCTCAGTAAAAAATTCACATGGCCTGTACATGTGAGTGTTTGATCACATGGCTCTTGGTTGGAAAAATTTTATATATCCCTAAATTAGGGCATGGGAGGCTGGTGGTGAATAGATTTGTTCTGTTGCAGTTTTTCTGAGAAACCAGCTTTAGGTGGAGCCATTTCCTTTATTATTCTGCCTTCTGGAAACCCACAGTCATTTTAGAAATCTGATGAGGACTGCTCAGAATATAAGTCTTACAGATTCACGTCCGACGCTTTTTCTTGTGGCGTCAGTGGTTGTGGTGTGCCGTCCCCACCACTGCTGGCCACGTGGAGAGGATAGCCCGCGGTGCCACAGCAGTGTGCACTCTGTGTGTTATGTTGGAATGACACGGAGTGTGTCTGCTCGCAGAATCTCCCCTCTTCGTGCCCTACGTGGTAGTTTGTGCTCATATCGATGGTGTTCCATTTAAAATTCTTTCCCCTCCCGTTGGCAGAAGATGAAGCATACAGACTCGTAATCTCACAGACGTATTTTTGTCGCATACTGCTCCTTTGCACGTTGGTTTGTCAGACCAGCTCTCCACCTTCCCCACACCACTGGGAAAATGTACTTTGTTGGAAGCTTCCTGGTGGGAAATTTTGTAACAGCTCTCAGAAATCTTAAGAGTGGCTTACTCTTTGACCCAGCAATTCCCTTTCTATGAAGCATCTGTCCTCAGGAAATCACTGGATAGTAGACATACAAGGATGCTTTTATCATAGCATTGTTTATTATAATAAACAATAACGCTAACATCTATTGAAAACTTACTTTATATCGGGCACCGTTCTCAGAACTTTATGGAGTATTCTCAGACAAATGTGTTAAGTCAGAAACAATTGAAACGCTCTAAAAATAGGGAATTAATTTAATAAATTATAGTCCATTCATACAGTATACATATATGTATATACAAATATAGTTCATTTCATACATTTCATTCATGAATTAATATGTAGCCTTTAAAAGTGGCGATATAGATTTTCATTTATTGACACGAAAGGATGTTTATAGTATATTAAGTAATAAAATCAGTTCACTGATACGTACTAAATGGTTTTATTTTTGTAGAAAATGTCTGAGGGACTATATACTAAAATGTTTACTTAGTTATCCTGAGTGACAAGACTATGGATGGTACTCACTTTTTTCTTATCTATGTTTTTGCATTATAGATATTAAGTTTAAAAAAAAGCTCAGCGCAGGTCTGTGGGAGAAATGAGTAACAAACGCCCCTTGTCTCTTGGAGACAGTTGACTTTACCATCAGACTGTCATCTTTAACTTATTTTACCCCTTTGCACTCTTTTTGCAGCAAAGCAGTTGAGAGCTTAGCTGAAGGGGGTGGCTCTGAAATTCAGCGGGTGAAAGAAGATGCTCGGAAGAAGGTGCAGCAGGTGGAAGATGTTCTGAACAAAAGGATACTCCTTTTAGAAGAGGCAAGTCTGGAAATCCTGAGGGGAATGTATTTCTTACAGTGAGTTAATAATGGGGTGGGCATAGTTTGGCTTCCTTTTCCACGAACTGTCAGTTTCAGCAGAAACAACAGCCACCCTTATTGAGCATCTCCCGGGTTCTAGCCCCATTTGGGGCGTTTCACACATATAATTTCTAACCCTTACACCCTGCAAACAGGCCACTCTTGTATTCATTCCTATATGAGGACACTTAGGCGCAGAGAGAAGTACGAACTTGTCCAAGTTTAATGCTGGATTTAAACCTGCGACTGATGATTTTAAAGCCCGTGCTCTTTCTGCCGTCCCACTCCACTTATTATCTAGTGTGGTCACTTAGTTTTAAAGATGTGGAAGCTGAGGGCCAGAGAAGGGAGGTGACTTCCCAACATTAGCCAAGACCGGAAGCAGATTCCTGACCTTTAGGCCGCTGCTTGCCTGTCTGGCTCCGGCTCCCAGTCTCCAGCCTCCGTCCAGCCGTCCTGCCAGTGCTCGCTGAACGTCTTCTCTGTTAGGCACTGCGTGTAGCTTCTCCTTTTACTTATTCTCACTTAGGTGTTTCCTAAGACTGTGATGGGAATCGAGGTGTTTCCTGCCTCAAAAATTCTGTCTCCTAGCTGTTGGAACATTTTCCTTCATTTTAAGCTAGTATTAAGTAATATTATTTAATTCTTGGTCTTTGAAGTCTGTTGTTTCATCTCAGTTTCTCTACCTGAAACCCTGGTTCTTCTTAGTAGATTTGAAGAGAAATGGCACCAAAAAGCACTTCTGGGTACAAAAAGCAGTTACTGTATTTTGCAGCCTACAATTTTCCATTTATCATGTTCACATCAGTCCTTATATCTTCCCCTTCAGGGTATGTAGATAAGAGATCCAAAAACAGGCAAGGAAATGGAGGCTTAGAGAGGGTAAGAAATTTGGCTTAGTTCATAAGCTGGAACCAAAGGGAGGATCTTCTGATCCTAAATTCTGAATTTTAGTGAAAATATAATTTTTACTGACTGTGTGTTCAGTCATCTTATTTTTCCAGTAAGTGCTTCCCAGTGTTTTGGGGTTCCAGATCTCTGCTCTGTCACTTACTAGCTTCCCTGAGCCTCTGCTGCTTCATCTGTCAAATGAGGATAGTGATACCTAATTTCCGGTAGTAACGGTAATAATAACAGATTACTAACAGTCTGCTAAGGGCATACCGTTGGATGAAGCACCCTTCTGCTTCTTACATACACTGATTTAGTTAATCCTTTCAACAAACCAATGAGGTCAATGTGCTTATCATACTTTTGCTTTCTTTTTTCTTAAACAGATGGTGAAACAGGCACAGAGTGGCTAAGTCACTTGCTCAAGGTCACATAGGCAGTAAATGTCAGGTCGTCTGTAGACTTGCAGGACCGCTATACTCTACTGTCTCAGTATATGACTTTTTAGGGTTGGGTGAGGATCAAAGATAGTATGTGTAAAGCTCCTCGCTTGGAGCCTGGCATTTAGTACACAGTCAGTAAATAACAGGCTTTCTTGTTTGTTGTCTAAGAATATGGGAAATGATTTTTTCCAACTTTCACTGAGATTGGCAGGCCAGTCTCCTGGGGAGACATTGGTGGTGGAGGTGCTGCGGAGGGCAAGGGCAGGGAGGAAGAAGCCACCATGAGCTTCCTGTGATGCAGCAGGCATTTGACAGTCTCATGAGGGCTCTTTGATGGGATGGTAACCACCATCCCTGTTTTATAGATTGGGAAGCTGGGGCTCAGAGAGGTTAAGTGACTACCTGAGGTCACACAGCAAGTAAATGGGAGAGCTGGGTTTTGAACTCAGCTCGATTTGACTTTTATCGTTGTGATGTAATCAGAGGCAGTTGGCATGACACGAGTAGTTGGAGACTGTCTACTCCGAGGTTGCTTTCATGAACACCAGGGCCTTTTCCATCACATAGACATTGCTTGTGTGATTTAGGTAATTTTCTTATAGGCTTCTCTGAGCTCTTGGGAAGAACATAGAGTTTCTTTAATACCTAAATCACATTGGAGCTATAGAAAATGTACTTTACAATTGTGTAGTCATTATCTTAAAAAAAATAGTGAGGGGGGCACTAGGTGTGGAGTGAATTTGTATGGAGATTATGGTGACTCTGAAATTTATGTATGTTTAGTATTGAGAGGCGCATTTCTCCTTGTTCTCATTGAAGCTGTAAATATTGATCTGATTTTTCAAAACCAGAAATACAGTTCTTGTATAGTTGAGTCTTTTCCATTGGAAATGTCTATTACTCTTCAGGATACAAGAGGGAAAAATGGCTGGCAAACGTATTTATTACCGATTCTCTCCATGTATAGTCCAATTTCAGGGAGGGGAAATGTGCCGGAGAAAAAGTCATAAATATTTATATTTTAATCCAATTTCCTTTCAAAATGTTCCCAATTGTATTGAAAAATTGCATCAAATGCATTTAATTTAACTCTAGGATGTGAAAGCCGCCCAAGCAGAACTGGAAAAAGCCTTTGCAGGGACAGAAACGGAGAAGGCTCTTCGATTGAGTTTGGAAAGCAAACTTTCGGAGATGAAGAAGATGCGCGCGGGGGACTTGGAGATGGTTCTGGTCCTGGAAGAGAAAGACAGGTCTGGCTCTTGTCCCTCTGATACCCTGACATCTCACTGGCTGGCAGCATGGGGGCAGAATTGCTCACTTTCCTTCCCTCCGTTCCCTCCCTTCTCTCCATGTTCCCCATGGGACCTGAGTGACTTTCTGGAACGTGTCCAACATAGTAAGATAGAAAACTAGGGATAAAATCGGGTGAAAAGAAAAGGAGTAGCATAGTAATATGAGGACAGAGATAGAGTCTACTGATACGTCTAGTGATAGACATTCATGCTGGAAAGTTTTACTCACATTCTACATTGAGCATTCAGTTTTCGCTCTAAACTTCCCGGTAGTCAAAGGAAAAAGGGAAAAACAGTCTTGGTGGCCACAAGATTCACATTGCTCTCAAGGTAAAACAAGCCAGCAACTTGGAAGCCCAGTTTTACTTGGCACTGTCAGAAGGAAATTTCTCTTGTGGTTCTTCCCAAAGGGAACAGTGAGTGACTACGTCCTCACCGTAAATACGAGTGAATTTTATGTGACTTGTTTTCTATCACATCTTTTAATACAGGCCAAGGCCCAGATTAGTGCAAGGGGCCAGAAACAACAATGTGGACCAAATACAGAGCTCTTTGATGATCGAGGATAAAATGTATGCCATTTAGTTCAGAGAAGGGGGCCAAGATGGCCTTTACACAGTCTTTAATGCTCATCATATCTTGCAACCAAGCTTCTGATAAAAACTTGTCAGGAGAAATTTGATTTTAATCTTTACCAAGAACCTGACATTTTGATACTCTTGCCTTGTTTTGGCAGTTACTGAGTGGAAGGTTAACTAAATATAAGTGCAGCTGATGGCTAACCTGTGACCTATCTGTCAAAGAGCCAAGCTTGTTCGGAATTTAGAGGAAATTGTTCTAAAGCACACGGTCTATTTTAGAGGGTACTGACTGGTTCCTATTTCTTGATCACTTAGTGCCCCTGTGTTGATGGGCGCAACATGTTGCTTACATTCTTGTGCCTAATGGCCCTGGTTTTTCAACTGTTGTTTGCTTTTACTTCTGTCAGTGCCACCTTTTGAGATCTGAGTCTGCTGCTTGTTTTTTTTTTTTTTTGAGACAGTCTCACTTTGCCACCTAGGCTAGAGTGCAGTGGTGTTATCATAGCTCACAGCTTCCTCAAACTCCTGGGCTCAAGTGATCCTGTTGCCTCAGCCTCCCGAGTAGCTGGGACTACAGGCGTGTGCCACCATGCCCGGCTAATTTTTCTATTTTTAGTAGAGACAGGGTCTTGCTGTTGCTCATCCTGGTCTCGAACTCCTGAGTTCAACCATCCTCCCACCTGGGCCTCCCAGAGTGCTATGATTACAGGCATGGGTGCCACTGCACCTGGCCTTCTGTTACTTGTTTTTATTTATGGGTTGGAAAATCAGGTGAGGAAACCTTTTAGGATTATTTGTAAAAGAGGAGTAAAGAGACCCTGAGGGAGAGCCCATGGTTTCCCTTTACGTGTCCTAGCTTCAGCATTTGGAGGAGTGACCATTTATTTGGTGCTCTCTAACCAACCTTTTCTTAGCTTTGATCTGGCAAATGGAAGTTTTGCAATTAGTAATCTCAGAATGAGACTTTATTCAGCATGTATTTCCTATGCCTCTTCTACTCAATCAACACAGTGGTGATTAGAATATAGGAGTGAGTGATACAGATTGAGTCCCTTTCCCCAGGAATCTCATTGTCTAAATTTAAGCTTATCATCTAGCTAGGTGGAAGGGGTTGAGGGCAGGAACAGAATGATAAGGTGCTACAAGGGATAAATGCTGGGTTAACATATTTATCCAACTCAGTTTAGAGGGATTAGGAAAAGCTTCCTAGAGGAAGTACTAGGATGAGGAAGAATTGCTTGGACAAAGAAAGGGAAGTAAGGGTGTTCTAGGCATAGGGCATACCATGTGTGAAAGTCCAGAAGCAAGAGGATCATAGCATGGTCAAGGCACCGGTGTTGTGTTCCGGAAAGGAGGAGGGAAGAGGCAAGGGGAGGAAGGCTGGGGAGGTTACATGGGCCTTGTTGAAGAATTTAGGTTTTATCCTAAGGGCATGTAAGAAGCCACTGAAGAATTAATGGTGGGGCTCGGGGGAATGTCAGGATCAGATTTAAATTTAGAGAGATCCCTCTGGCTGCCCTCTGGGGGATGGATTGGCACGGGGCTGGGTGGAAGACTAGTTCTCATGCTGACACAGAAATCCAGACAAGAGCTGATGGTGACCAGGTAGGTGACAGTGGTAGGCCTGGAGGAGAACAAGCAGAGATAGAAAGAAGGTAGAGTAGACATGATGGGCATGAAGGGCTTGGTGACTGGTTGGGTTTTGGGGGCGATGGAAAAGGCTGCAGTGACATCCCCTCACCCAGGTTTCGAGTATGAGCAACTGTGGGGTGGTAGTGCATTTTGCAGAGTTTGGGGGACATAAAGGGGAAAAGAGGAAATGATTTTGGGTGGAGGGAGTGAGAAGGTGATGCTTTCAGTTTGGACATGTTGGATTTGAGGGATCTGTGAGCATCTATGAGTAGAGGAGATTGGGTCTGTGGATTATGGCTTGAATTAAAGGAGGTATAGATTCTTCCCTTAACCCACCGTGAGCATGGCCTTGGGAATGCATGCCGGGAATGCAGGGATGAACACCGTCCTGCTTACGTGGAGATGTTGAAAATATGTTGTGCTGATGCTGTGATAGAGGTGAGCCCAGGATTGTGTGCTGTGACAAAAGCAAGGGAGTGATCAGCTCTGCATGGGTGTGGGTCAGGGAAGGCTTATCAGAGGGGGAGTCCTGGAGTTGGGTGAGGATGCCTTGCCAAGCAGAGAGAACGGCACACGCAGAGGTACAGAGCCTGGCACGTTTCGAGGTGATTGTAGAGGAAAGTGGTCCCTGTTAGCATGTGCCACGGAAGCTAGACTTGTCATCTCTCTTGGAAGAGGGGATTTGGGAAGGGTTCATGTTTATCAGGTACTTACTGGGTCTCTATGGAGGTGGGTGGTCAGGTCAGAGCTTTGCTAAAGTCTGCATCTTCCTGGGATTTCCCATAGATGTGGCTAGACAGGCACAGAAACGTGATCTGTCAGTCCTGCAGATGCGTCTGTCTTTCAGGAATAGATGTGTCCTGGACGCCCTCCCAGAGACCGGTGCAGCAGCCAAATGCCAACTCTGGTTTTCTGCTCAGGGTGTGACCCCTTTTGTGATGACACTCCTCTGGGCCTGGGATCAGTGTGTTCCCTCCCTGAAGGCAGGCCTGCCTAGGGCGCTAAGTCAAGGTGGGAAGAGTAGCACGGAATTAGAGCAGCAGTCCTTGGCTGTGCCCTGGCGAGATGGATCCAGATCTGCTACACGGATTGACCTGCTGTCGGGCAGGGCGGAGTGTCCAATCTTCAGGGCCCAGGGCCCGCCTCACGTGCATGGCACTATCAATATGTCTCTGGCCTCCCATCCTCCTTTCAAAGGTACATGCTTTAGCTACTTTATTTCCTTCAATCCAGCCTTTGAGCTATGCTGTATCTGTAAGGCAGTCACTATTGAGGAGCCCTGCAGTTCAAATATGGCCAACGTATATGTTTTATTTAGCCTACAGTGTTCTTAAGAGTTTGAATTAGTTGCCAATATTTAAAAAATTGAATTTCCCGTGACAGTCTGGGTTTCCAGCTTCCCTTGAAAGCCTAGAAGACATGACAGGGCTGGGCAGTGGTCCTGCCACTCCCTTTAGATGGTCTGGTACTCCAGTCTGTCCAGTCTGGCCACAGTCCCCACCTGGCCTCTGGCCTGCCCACTTTTTCCATTCTTTATCTAGAATTTGCTTTAAGGTAACGAAAAAAAAAAAAAAAAAAAAAGAAGAAGAAGAATTTTATAGAGGTATAAATTGCATGGAACAGTTTGGCGACTTCTACGTCTCCAGTTGCTTATGTGATGATTTCAGAGTTGAATCCCTAGAGGGCACTCTTGCGCCTCTTTCCAGGACTTTTGGCGCCTGGCACAGGGGCCACCCAGCACCGTCCCACTGCATTGCTGGGTGCTTCAGCTACTTTTATCTCCCTTCTCACCTTCACCCTGGGAAGCTGGGTGCTTTGCCAGGGTAGCTCTGTCAGACTTCCAAGCCTTTGTTCTTTCCACCAAACTAAGTTGCTTTCTAGGCTTAGCTATAGTAAGACTCTTCGGAAAGGTCCTCTGACAAAATGCTAATTGCTGAATGTTTAAAAAAAGTAATAATTATAGCAACTGTCATTTGTTGAGTTCTACCATATGCCCGGAGTGGAATAAGGTGGTTTTAAATAGCTTATCTCCAATCTTCTATTTTATAGCTGAGGAAACACAGGCTCAGAGAGGCTGAATTACTCGCCATGGTCAAAGAGCAGTTGACGTGAGGTAATTTGGTGGCCCAGAGAAGCGCGTGTTCAGCTCTCCCTGATGGGCACCCTCAGGGTGAAAAGGGTGGCAGAGCTTCCTTGAGGGGAGGTGATGTTTGATGACCTCTGGCAGGACACCTGGGTGCTTATCAGGCGGAGATGGGGGTAGTGTTGGGAACGGCATTTCAGGTAGAGAGACTAGTGTGAGCAAAGGCAGAGAGGCACAAAACAGCCCGGCTTCGGAAGAGAACCTGGAACAGAGACCGTGATGGTTTCCTGTGAGAGATGAGGCTGAGGCTGTCAGCAGGGGCCTCTGATCTGACTGGCACTCACAGCTAGGGCCTTGAATGCCCTGAGGAAGAATTCGGCCTTTATCTTGAATGTCAGTGTGTTTTTAAACTTTGCCCTGAGAAGCCCAGGAGAGCTATTCCCTGTTTTTTCCGCATTCACCAGAACAGCTCTGCTTTATTGGTTTTATTTGCTTAGGTTTTGGTGACATTTCTTTTGGAGAGAGGATTTCTCTTGGTCAAAAAAAATTAGTAATCCTTTGCTGTCAGTGGTGGGGGCCATTGAAGGTCTTTGAACAGTGGTGTGACTTGGCCAGACCATAGTCTGGCAGCTCAGAGTTGGATCGACTGGAGCCAGGCTGGAGACAGGGGGACCCGTTAACGTCACACAAATTCTGGCCCTTGATCTCCGACCTGCAAAAGATGATTCCATTTATGTTCAGTCATTGGACATGTCTACTTTGAAGATGTCTTGCCCCATTTCCTACCTCCTCCTGCTCCACTGAGCTAAGAGAGCAGCTTAGAATTAATATTTAAATTTTGTTCTCTTTTAGACTGATTGAGGAGTTGAAGCTGTCTTTGAAGAGCAAAGAAGCTTTAATTCAGTGCCTTAAAGAGGAGAAATCTCACATGGCATCTCCTGATGAGAATGTGTCATCTGGAGAGCTCCGAGGACTTTCTGCTGCTCTGAGGGAAGAAAAAGAGAGAGAAACTGAGGTGAGGTGACAGGACGTGAAGGGGAGGGCTTTAATTAGCCAACCAGACTCCTCTGTGGGAAATGGATGCACATTCAGCCTTCACGGTTCACATACAGTTTGCTTCTAAATATGAGTTCCCTGTCAGCTGAGGAGTGAACAGAAACCGCCTTTATCAAAGGCCCTGTCAGCCTCCTGTTCATATAAAGAGTTAGTTTAAGAAACAGTCCCATACCTGCTTGTCTCTATTTTACCATGGGTTAGTTGCCTGGGGACTTTATTTTCATCCTTTGGGGTTTCTTAGGATACAATGTGGTGCGTTGTACATGTCCATTTTGCCTTTGTGGTTAGAGACAGGCATGAGGCCAGCTTTGGTCTGCAACCTGGGAGGTACTGGGGGAAGGGAGCTAACCTGCACTGGGCCTGGCAGCGTGGGAGGGGTTCAGCGTATCGCCTTGTGCAGTCCTCCCAGCCACCTGGCGAGGCAGATCATTGTCTCCTTCTGGAGTTTAGAAACAGGCTCAGGGGAGTTATTATATTTTCCAGGCTCCAAGAGGTGGGTTACTAGTAGCTGACCCCAAAGCCTCCCTGAACTCCTCCCCTTCACTAGGCAGCCTCCCCAGCAAGCCCTTTTGAAGAGGGTGGGCAGACAGGGAAGCGTAGGTAGGTCTCAGCCTAGGTCTCCCACTGCATGTGGTACTTTCACATCAGGGGTGTTCTGGATGGTCATGAAAAGTCTCGATTTTTTTATGGAACGGGGTCTGTGTCCCCCACAGCAGTGAGTTCTGTAGTCTCGCTGATTAGTTTTTGTCCATGATCAGCCGTTGTCTCCTGCTCGTCCTTTTAACCTCTCCCCACTGCCCGGGTGCTGGCCTTCAGCAGGCCTTCTTCATCCTGTTCGGCAGCACCTGGCTTTCCTCTCTGTGGGGCTGGCCATGAGGCAGTGTCAGCTGCTTGTCTGCACGTTTTTCTTCACCCAAATCCACTCTCTTGGCCCCACTCACTCACTTTGGGTGGGGCCAAGAGAAGAAGGGGACACTTGTTTCAATGAGTTCCACAGCACTGGGGGAAACTGAGTAAACAAAGGGCTCATTTTAATTGTTCTGCTGAAGCTGTTGGATTGTGGGTCACTTCTGGGCAGTACCAATTAATGCTTTTTCTTAGGCTGCACAAATGGAGCGTCAGAAGGAAAAAAGTCACTTTGAAGGGAGGATCCAGGTACGTCGATACAATTTTTAAAAATTTTCTTGAATATTTATCCTATTCTTGCCTCTTATTTTGTTTGGAGTGCAACAGAAAATTCTGTGTGACAATTTCTGTCATTTATGGACTGCTGCCATGTGCCAGTCAAGTGTATGGCACTTTAGAAAGGGGTTCTCAATCTCTGCAGTAACTCTGTGAAGCAAGCATTCCCATTTTGCAGATGTGGTTCCTGAGGCTCAGAGAGTTGAGGTCACTTGCCCACAGTCGCATAACCAGGAAAAGGTAGAGCAAGGGTTCAGACCTGCCCGTGCTCCGTGGCCCCTCGGTCACAGCAGCTGGCACTGGTGTAGTGCCTGCCAGCTTAGAAAGTGCTTTCACATCCATTATCTCATTTGATCCTCACAGCAGCCCGGGAGGGAGGCAGCAATGATTATCCTTAGAAATGTACTGACTATAAATGTATAGTTCAGTCTCCATCAAAAGGAATGAAATTAATGATCTGTTATTTCCCCCAAATAACCTGGTATGAAAGGCTCTGATGTGACCGTATTCATATTCCAGGAGGCACTGGAATCCTTCCCGTAGGAATAGCTGTCATCGTCTTAACTGATCTGATCCCTTTCCCTTCACCCAGCCCTGTTGCCGTGAGCGGTAACACACTAACTTGGAGCCAATGCCACTACATTCAGCTCGACTTGGAAACATTAATCACAGGTTGACAGGAATAAGATAGAATAACTGCATTTGAGTGTGCTCTTAAAGATATATTTACAGTGCATTTTGGTTGGAACGCATCAACTTAGTGAATCTTTTTCTAATCTAATTTAGGCACTTCAGGAGGACCTGAGAGAGAAGGAAAGAGAAATTGCTACAGAGAAGAAAAATAGTTTAAAGAGGGATAAAGCCATTCAGGGTTTAACCAGTGCATTAAAATCAAAGGAAAAAGAGGTATGTCTGAGATACTCGAAGTGAGATTTTTCTTTATTAGCTTCTGTGACTGGCTTGTTTCTACTCTGAATCTTTAGCTTTGGATGAAAAGTTTATAAGAGAGCGGAGATAGTATGGAAAGGGGGGGACGATCCTTTAGTCTGTGGGAAATTCTTTTGGTGTGTCTAATCCAGTGCTGTCCAGTAGAAATATGAGTTAGGTACGTAATTTTACATTTTCTAGTAGCCACATGAAATGAAGTAAAAAGAAACAAGTGAAGTTAATTTTAATAATTGTGTGTTTATATCTTCAACATAATCATTTCAGCATGAAATCAATAGAACACAAAAGTAACATTTTTTTTTCAGAACAAAGCGTTCGATGTGCTTACAGCACACCTCGATTCAGACAAACCACATTTCGCTTGCCGAGAGCCACATGTGGCTAGTGGCTACCATGTTGTACAATGCAGGTCTGATCTTTTGAAGGATAACAGAACGCAGACAAAGGAGCTGTGGGAGGCAAGGCCATAACTGTGAATGCTGGGGTACCCTGTTGTCTTTGGGTTCCAAGGTGGTGGCTGATGGTTTTGTATTGTTTTCTTGTTGTTAGCACGGCAGTCTGTTGTGTCCCAGTAACTATGCTAGGCACAGATGCAGAGATGAAAACCCAGCTCTGTTTGCAAGTCTGGTGGGGACTATAGAGTGATGGGTGCTGTGACTGAGGGAAGTGCAGGGGCTGGGGAGGTGGACAGAAGGAGACCTGATCCCGATTAGATGTGGATGTGGGGATGGGGAGCAGCATTTAGACAAGAAGATTCTGAGCTGCATCTTAAGGGATGAGTAGGAGCTAGTTGGGAAGGCAGGCAGGGACAGGGATGCCTTTTTGGGCAGAAGCAAAGGACACTGGTCAAGGCATTAAGACAGGAAAGACACTGATATGTTCCACAAACAGTTTGGATTTGTCAGAGCACACAGCGCAAAACGTACGGGAGACAAGAGAAGAAGCTGGAGCAGTTGCCGGGGGCCAGCCAGTGGAGGGGTACTAACCCTCCTGAGCTGCTTGGGTAGCACTTAAGGCCCCTGAAAGCTCTTAAGCAGGAGGGGTCTGATCACATTTTCATTTTAGAGAGGTCTCTGGCTGTATTTGGAGAGTGGGCTGCAGGAGGGAGAGAATGGAGGCAGGGAGGCCAGTAGCTGAAGCAAGAGCCAAAAAAGGCTGAATTAGAACAGTGGTCACAGCAAGTAGGAGTGGGTGTGAGGGGCTTATTCAAGAAATAAAATTAGATATAGAGATACATGTTCTTTATTCCAAAGTTTGGGATGAGAATGAGTAAGAATGTTTACTCTCATCACTTGTCTTCAGAATTGTTCCAGAAGTCCTAGCTAGTATAATAAAGTAAGAAAAAGAAATAAAATGCATCATCACATCATCAGAAAAAATATAACTTCTGTTATTTGTAGACAATATAATTGTACATATAAAAACACTGTTTGAATCTATAATAACACTAATAAATGAATTTAGCAAGGTCACTGTATACGAGATCAATAAGAATAAGCACCACATGTACTCGCCATCAAATTGGCACTAACTGATCAACACTAAGGTGCTCACATGGTAGTAATACTCATTGGGGGTTGGGGGTGGGGGTGGGTAAACTAGCAACTAATGGACACAGCATTGTATGGGGGAAGGACACACCTCTAATCCTGGCTTGGGTGAGGCAAAGTCATAACATGTAACCAAAATGTTTGTACCCCCATAATATCCTGAAATAAAAAGAAACAAAGAAAAAAAGAAAAAATAAATCTTAACAAAACCTATTGAAAAAAAAAAAGAAATAAAATTAGAAATAATTAAAAATTAGAAATAAAATTGGGCAAATTAGATAATTAGAGTAGGACTTCACAAAAGGAGCAGTCAGGGATGACTTCTAGGTGTCTGGCTTATGTGACTAGGATACAGTGGTGCCACCAACTCAGTTCAAAGCATAGAAAATAGAGGATGATGGCAAGGTGGGGTGTTGGGGGAAGCTAAAGCTTGGAGAGAACTCAGGCCTCAAGAAGTTGATCTGGGAATTACTCATATATAAGTGTGAGTTAAAATTCTGATGGTTGGCTGGGCACTGTGGCTCAAGCCCATAATCCTAGCACTCTCGGAGGCCGAGGCAGGAAGATTGCTTGAGCTCAGGAGTTCAAGACCAGCTTGAGCAAAAATGAGGCCCCTGCTTCTATTGAAAATGGAAAAAATTAGCTGGGCATGGTGGCATGCACCTATAGTTCCAGCTACCTGGGAGGCTGAGGCAGGAGCCTGAGGCTTGAGCCCAGGAGTTTGAGGTTGCAGTGAGCTATGATGATGCCACAGCACTCTAGCTGTGAGACTTTGTCTCACACACACACAAAAAAATTCTGATAGTTGACCTACTAATCCACGGAGAGTGTAGAATGGGAAAGGAGAAGGCTAAGGATGGGACTGCAAGGGATGTCAGGATTTCAGGGATGGGGAGAGGAATGCACAAGGAGACAGAAGGAATGGTTGCCGAAGTAGGAAACTAACCAGGAAACTGTGGTGTCAAAGAAGCTCAAGGAGTGCAAGTGTTTGAGTGAGAACCAGTGTCAGATGCAACAGAGATTTGGCTCATAATAAAGGCCCAGCTGGGGTTGGAGCTGAGGTCGTGACACCAGTGGCGGAATGGTTGCGGGTGCTGGCAAAGTCCAGGGCGTGGCCATAGTAGTTCATGTTTGACTCCTGGGTCTAGGAGAAGGTCTCTAGAGAATAAGGGAGTCTGGGAATAGCCAGGCTATAGGTTGTTGGGTGGGTCTTCCATATGGATAATAGTAATAGTAACACTTAGTATGAGCCAGGCATTGTATTAGCACCAGTACACATTCCTCATTTAATCCTAGCACTGTAGTTGGGTGAGTGGTGGTATTCTCATTTTACACTTGAGGAAAGGGAGTCTCAAAGAGAGTAAGTATAATACCTTGCCTGAAGTCAGCTTAAAGTAAATGGCCTAACTAGAAACCCCACTCAGGTCTTTTCTGACTACAGAGCCCTTGGTTATAAACCATACACAACTGAGCAGGAAGAGCATGTGGGCTGTGCAGAGAGAGGAGAGCCCAGTTGCATACGTGGCTACTAGTCCTTATTTTTCCCCAGGTTGAAGAACTTAACTCTGAAATAGAAGAGCTCAGTGCTGCATTTGCTAAAGCCAGAGAGGCTGTGCAGATAACACAGACCCACGAATTCCAGGTAAGTGTTTGCTGTGGCTTAAGTGGCTATCTTTTTGATCCTGACTCCTGTTGAGGTGAGGACTTTGCAGCTGAAAGGAACTTGGATGATTTTAATAAGGAGAACTGTGGGTGGTCTTTAGTGATAGAATTCGCTCAGTCTAATTAAAGGGAGATTCTCCACCACCTTTGGGAGCTTCTCCAGCCCCCGCCTCAATATGATAATGATAATCCTAAGTACCTCCACAGTTAGGAGTGCTGATTTTACTCTGTGCCAAGTAATGGTGCAAGATATGTAGATTATCTCATTTAACACATTGACTGCCACACTAGAAAAAAAAAAATTTTTCCTCAGGGCTATGGTGTTTTATAGAATAGAATAAAAATTTCAAAAACAAAATGATCCTTCCTAATTTAATGAAAAATTTGTTATTTTTTATTGTTTTGTGTGCATGAGTTATATGCAGTTAAATTGTCAGTGTTAATTGTAACAATAAGAACATTAACAGGTAAGATTTTCACGAACCAACTGCAAGGTTTTGCCCAGGGGCTATGCATCACGTGCATGTATGCTACAGCATGGCAGCGTGAGTTGCCTGTGCACCATGTGACTCCCAAGGTAAAGAGACATGTGACTTACATATGCTTCACGAGGCCCTGGGCTCAAAACTAGCAAGAGTTAAATGCAACTCACATGGCAGTTAATGTGTTAATCTTCACAACCCTGTGGGGAAGGTAATTATCATCCCCCTTGTATTTGTGAGGTTTTGAGGCTCAGCAAGGGTGTGCAGCTTATTCATTGTCACACAGCTAGCAAATGGTGGAGCCAGGATTTAAATGTAGTAATTGCTAATAATAACAGGAGACATTGATGGAACACATGGTATGTGCCAAGCCCTGCTACGTGCTCCCCGTAGATTATCTCAGTTATCTGCACAACAGCTCTATGAAGTAGGCTCTATTAATATTCTCGTTTTACTGCTGAGGAAATCCTGGTTAGATTCCAGTACCTTGCTCAGGGTCCCAAATCTAGTAAGTGGTAGAGCTCAGATTTGACTCCAGAGCCAGTTTCACTCCCAGGCTTGCGCTTTTACCTGTCATCCCATACCTCCCCTCACCTGGCTGCTTCGGTTTCAGCTGCTCCATTCCAGGTTTCTGTTCCAGGCCTTGCTGTTTCTGACCTGCCTTTCTCTCCCCCGTCCCTGCTGATTGGCCCCTGACTTTCCCTCTCTTTTCCTAATTTTAGTTTTGTATTTTAAATTATTTTAGCATTTTTCTTTTCTTGTTTCTAGTTTCCCTATATAGTTTATACCTATTACTAATAATTTAATGAATCAATAAAGTTCCATCATCGAAATAAGTCCATACTGCCTAAAGCTCTGTCCTCCCACCCCTTGCACTGATGTTGCTTTTAGTGGTAAAGTAGAAGTTAGAAGTTAAATCTAATTTAAGACTGTTTGAGTTCCAAGATTCATATCCCCTGCCTTATCTTTTGCAGAGCTTTGGTTCACAATAAGAATAATTGAAGTAATTTGGTTTAAGTCCTGAAGCTCTGCTTTGAGGATCTCAGACTTGCCTTCTCCCACCATTTTACCAGTGGTTGATGAAATGGAGCTGAGATTACACTTTAAACTGTAGTTTTTTTTTCCTGGCTTAGAAAATAACATGCTTTAAAAGCTGAATTTTTAGGAAAACCTTTCATATTTTCCATTGCTTGGAAAAAAAGTGTGTTGGCAATTGATAGCCAGAGAGATCAGACATGCTTATAAGCATTGTGGTATTTTACTTGTTATGTTGAGCCTTGAAGGAGAAAAAGGAGTCTTATAAATTTAAATGTTACCCAGATTTATTACTTACATTTATTAATTTAATAACTGTAACTGTCAGTCCTAGTTGAAAGACTTCAAGAATGATCTTTGAGGTTTTGTGATACACAGCGTTGATCAAGTTTCTTGCCTTGCAATGCAGAGAGATCAGGAACTGTTGTAACTCCTTACTTTATACATGTCAGGTCGGCTTTGTGGAGAATCTTTAGTCCTTACCCAAGGAGGTAGCAGGTTTACAAACTTCAGTGAATTGGTGCCAGGACTCAAGTTCAAGTCTGTCTTCAAAGCCTATATTTTTTCCATTCCTCTGGTTGTGTGGGGGGGAAATGCACACACTATGCTTATATTGGTTGTTTCATTGTGAAGTAGGCATAGTCTGAATGTTGCACAGACACTTGTAGATGTGTTTTCTTTCATGGGATCTTTTTGGGGTAGTGTGTGATTTGAAATATTAATAATTGCAACATGAGTAAAATAGCCAAAGTTCATAGGGTTGACAACAAGCCTGACACTGAAGCAACAGCAAGTGAATATTTAAACTCTTGAAGTGGTTGCCAAAATTTAGAAGCACAGAGATATGAATTCTAATCACAGGTGTGACACTGTCAAGGTTATAGTGTGGGCTGGCTGTTGTTACCTCCATACCCATTAAAAAAATATTTTCAAATTGGAAATAGCATCCCCCCAGCTGTAAACGTAAAAATGCACATTGTAGGAAATTGATAAAATACTTAAAAGTAGTAGAGAACTGTCGATAGAGATCACCAATAAATTCACCTCTAAAGATATTCACTGTTAATGCCTTGACTCTTTAGTACATATTTATACATACACAAAATAGAGGCTGTTACTTCCCATTTCACAAATGAGGAAACTGAACTTCAGAGAAGTTAGCTTTCTCCAAAGTCACACAGCTACAATTGGTCTTTGAACCCTGGGCTTTCTGACTTTCTCTTTATTAAACTCATGTTTATGCACAGTGGGCAAGAACGAATTGTTTAATATTATATTTGGCCTTCAGTTTCTGACTATATCTTATTGGACCAAATATTTGCCACCTGGATATCATGCAGAAAAAGATAAAAAGCCTTCCAAAGAAGTTTTTCAAAGGGCCAATTAATGAAAACGTAACATGGAAAGTATTTTTATTAGTAGAATCTATGCATTTGAATCCTTTGAGCTTGGATTTTTTGTCATCATTATTTATGTGATAATTCTGCAAAACTTTCATCACTTTATAATAACTTTTAATAATAACCATTGCTGTCCTATGTTTTACAAGCCCCTAACTAATATTCCTGTCTCTAGTCTTCTTCCCTCTAGACTGCTTGTTTTAATTCTTGCTAGTTAATTGCTGTTAATTGGAATCTTCACCACTAATGACAAGGTAGTGTATTGCTGAGGAAAAAACACAGGCTCCGGAATCATTTGAATCGATGGTCTAAAAACAGACTAGTCACTTAGCAGTTCTGAGCCTTAGTCACTTAAATGGGCACGATAATGTATACTTTGTGGGATTGGTGTGAGAAATGGAGATACAACATATAAAAGCTCTTGGTAGACACAAATCTACAGATTTTGGAAAGAAAAACAATCAAACAAAAAAGCACTTGGTTTAGCTCCTCATATATAATTAGTGCTTGATAAGAGGCAGCTATGAATATAGTTCAAGATGAGCATTTTCCAGTCATCATTTACCTTCTTTTGTTGAGATTATTTAAATAAGCACTGCCAAACATTTTTTTTTTGGCCTTGATATCTAGGTTTCCCACTTCTTTTTATTTATTTTAATTTCAAAAGAAAGAAAACCAGAAGATTTTATAAACTTACTTTTAAATCTGCATGCAGTTCACCCTCAGTTCATGTTGCTGTGTTCATAGCAGTTCAGGGAACGTGGGATCAGGTGTCTGGGCTTTCGGTGGCCCAGGAACAGCAGAGCTCCTCAGCCCCAGATCGAATGTGGTTGTAGCTTAGCTCTCCCGAACAACTGAGTTGACAGCCTCAACAGCCAGGATGTAACCAGTGGTGGTGGCAGAGATGGATTGCCTGAAAAGGCTGAGAAGCTGGGGCCTTTATTTCACAGTCTGAGTTATGACCTTGACAGCTCAAGTATCATTTGTTTTTGAATTCTTAATCCTGACCCACAGCCTTAATTCAAAGAGGAGCTTAAAAGAAAGTTTATTTTCTCCTGATTAGAAGTATTAGTATAGTTCAAGATTTTTTCAGAGGGCTAGAAAGAAGAAAAAAAGGAAATCCTGAAATCACCCAACCACTGTTAACATTTGGATCTTTTTCCTTCTAGACTTCTTCTAGATTTCTTTTTAGATCATTTATAATTCGGTCATCTGTTTGTTCATATAATGTTGCAACTTAGAAATATTCCCATGTTATCAGTCTTTGTAAATATAGTTTTAAGATTTCATCATGTATCTTTATCATACTTACCATTTTTTTTTTTTAAGAGGGAAAGTCTTGCTGTGTTGTCCAGGCTGCAGTGCAGTGGCTGTTCACAGGTGTGATCGTACGCACTACAACCTTGAACTTCTGGGCTCAAGGGATCCTGCTGCCTCAGCCTCCTGAGTAGCTGGGACAACAGACATGGACCACCATGCCTGGCTTTTCCATTTTTGTGTTATGCATGTTTAGGTTATTTCTTATTTTTTACTGTTATAAGTAATTCTGTGATGAATGAGTTTGTATATAAGGCTGTTGTTTCCCCCCTGTGGTTTGGATTCTTTTGAGATTGAATCCTAGGAACGGAATTACTGGGACAAATGTGAACATTGTTTATACTATACGTACACACTCTATACATAATCTGCCAATAGATAACAGGTGCTTGGCCAGTTCTTGAGGAGTGATTATTAAGAGCACCATTTCACAAGAAGCTCGTCAGCACTGGATGTTCTCATTTAAAACAATCTCACTTGATAAAGGAGAACTCGTTTTAATTTACCCTTTTTGAGTATTGGTGGGTCAGAATATTTTTTTTTGATATGTTTGATAATTACATGTGTATTTTCTCTAGTGAACTATATATTAATGAAATTAAGATATTCTTGACTCATTTAGCTCTTGGACTTTGCTAAAGTTGTAGCCTTTCGGGGTGGCCATTGAACCACCATGCTGACCACTTCTTTTTTTCCAGATGACCTTGGGTTTGAGCCATTCTAACATGGATGAACATTACAAGTGCTTGGATCCATCACTGCTTTTTGTCAACCTAAGTAACAAACAGAGAGGCTCTCTAAAAGAAAATGATGTTTATTCAGGAATAGGGCATTGCAATGGGAATGTACATGCTTTAGTAAACTATGTGCATTTTCAGGGAGGTAAAGGAAGACAAAGATTTTTAATGAAAAAATGAGGAGGATTACATAATTGTTTTGAGATAATTTTCCTTGGCTCCAAGGGTCAATAGCAAGGGTAACACTAGTCTGAGGTTGGACAGCCAATTGCTGGGCAGAAGTATTTTTTGTATAGGGTCATGATGGCCTCGTGGAAGGTTGTGGTTTTTGCAGAGTCTGTTGATAGTTTTTGCTATCAGGCATTTATCTATGAGAACTGTCTCTTCATAGCCTTACCCAAATCTGTCAAGGTGTCAAGGTTTTGTTTTTTTTTTTTTTAAAATGACTCCATTTTTATTCTGACCATTTTCACATTTTCAAATGTAGCTTGTTATTTTCTACCTTTTAAAAATGACTTAATTTTTTTAAACCATTATAAAAGTAACGTGTTCATTCATCTTAGAACATTTGGAAATACAGAGAAATGAAGGAAAAAAAATCAACTTTAGTCCCACTTGACTAAAGACAGTCACTGTTAGCATTTTGTGCTTTTCTTCTAGTTCTTTTAAAAAAATACCTCTTTTACACAACTGTAGACTTTTCTCCCTTTCCATCAACATCATAACAAACATTATCCTGTGTTATTCCAAAATATTCATATTACTTTTGCTTTGGATTTTGAATGTTGTCTATCTTAATCTTTTTGTTTTCTTTTTTTCCCCCAAGGTGGAAAAGGAGCCCAGATTTCTTGATTGGTTTCATGAAGTATGACAGTAAGCTCATCTCCCCTTTCTCCCCTCTCTCCCCTCTCTCCACTCTCTTCTAGGGGTCCAAAGACTACGAGGCTGCTCTGTCAGGAAAGGAAGCCCTCTTGGCTGAGCTGCACTCAGAAAACCTCTCCAAGAGTACAGAGAACCACAGACTGCGTAGGAACATTAAGAAGGTCACCCAGGAGCTGAGTGACTTGCAGCAGGAGAGGGAGAGACTGGAGAAGGACCTGAAGGAAGCCTGTCGAGAAAGGAGCAAAGGAGACTGCACCATCCGTGTGAGTACCCCCTGCCCTCTGACAGTGGGCTGGGGCTGTGTGGCTGTTTCTGGTTATAGGGTGATATTCAGTGCAGAAAACGTAGAAAAATCTGAAAATTATGAAGAAGAAAATAAAAATAAATTCATTGTCTCATTACCTAGAAATGATGACCAGGCTTAACTATTTGATGTTTCAGTCCTTTTATTCTCTCCCTCTCTCTCTCTCTCTCACACACACACACACACACACACACACACACACACACACACACACACACACACACACACAATTGGTATCAAGCTGAAAATATAGGTTTGTAGCCTGCTTTTTTTTTTTTTTTTTGGGAGATAGTCTCTCGCTGTCACCCTGGGTAGGGTGCAATGGTGTCATCATAGCTCACTGCAACCTTGAACTCCTGGGCTCAAGTGATCCTCCTGCCTCAGCCTCCTGAGTAGCTGGGACTGCAGGTGTGCACC